CAATGTTCTAGTGGGAGAGGTTGTGCATCATTTATCACTGCAACGTTCAAGTATAATGTGGTGATTTCATTTGAGTTAGAGTCCAATAACTCATTGCGGTTAACTGGAGGGGAGAATGGGATGAACAATTACTTCCTTTTGTAGAAGCACGGCGTATAACACTTCTACTTGGAGTTTGATCATGATCATGATTATCATCACCATCAACAAGACACTGATCTTCATTTGTACGTTGTACGAGTTTTTTACTTAATCTCTACATCATAATATTCAGTTAGAACAAAAATAAGCACAATATATATCATACATTTCTGATAAAATATTAAAATCTCAAGTAAAGCACATACTGAATATAATTCTTGAAACCTTTCCACATCTTTCTCCCTTTTTTTCCCTCTCCTCTTTAAACAACCTCATTTGTTCTTCTAATTGCTTCTCAACATTCTCAATCTTTTGTTTTTGTTCCTTTAATTTCGAGCTTCCGGTACCTTTTTTTTACCCAAAGAATAACCGCAAGCAAAAACCTTCTCGAACACCAAGGACACGCCCACCATGCTCATCTGTTTCGATTGCTTATACTAATATGTCATGTCGTGCTTCTGAAACAAATGTGCCTTCACGAGTGCCTCAACCAACATATCCTAGACAACATGAGAAACTTACATATATTGTTACTAACATATTTAAATAACAAATAACATAAGCAAAATAAATCATACTTACAATTTTCTCGACAACTACTCTTGTTGCCTCAGAGGTGTACTCTCCATTTGGTCTTAATCGAGCCATCTTCCATATCTCATGTCTTGACGGTGGGGATGGGATGTGATCATCTCCTATTTGTGGTTGTTTTTCAAGCATTATTCTTTTCTAAAGTTTCATGTAACTCCCACGAGACAATCTATGTGGGTACATGTTCTTTTCCTTGTTTCGTATTCCTACTTCACTTTTAAGTTGTTATTAATATAATGAATAATATATATCATTAGTATCTATAACTCATTAGCATAATTTATAGGTTAAATAAGACTAGTACTAACCTTGAATTCCTCAGAACGATGTATCTTCGTAAACTTCTTCCATTGCTTTTTCGATATAAAACTATATCTTTTTCATTGAAGATCAAGACCGCTCTTAGTCTTCCTAATGTAGTCAGCCGTGAGTTGTGACTTAAATCCCCTTCAGCAAGTAGTTACATAAAAGATCCATTTTTTTTGCAACTTTGCGTCATCGGTAAACTCAAAATTCAACTACATTTAAATCAATGTATTAGAAATTATAAGTAGTGATATCTAATATATGAAAATTATAGTATGTAATACCTTAACGTTTGTCCATATGTTTTCTTTGACTTTCTCATCCACTTATTTCCAATCATCTACCGATATACTTACTTTGTTTCGTCCAAGGAACACAATATAACTCTTAAAAATAGATTAATATTCACAATCAACTACTCTATAGAACCAATCAAATTCGATCGGAGTTTTTTTCCACCTGGTGAGTTACAGACTGATGTGAATTGGGGCATCATTGTGACACCTCTTTGTGATCTTTTTGATTGAGTATCATTTGTTTAAATTTCATTCGCACAACACTCATTTGTTTGATGTTCTTCGCTAGTATCTGATGAAGAACTCGACAAGGTCGACATATACGTTCAAAAACAACAACATGAACAACAAGAACATAAACAACAACCACAAGAATGGAAAATAAAGTTTACTGTAGATGCATGGGGAAAATATTTACGTACCCTAAAAGTGATGACTAAGTAAATGATGTTGGTGTTGGTGTTGTCTTCCTTTCTTACGGCAACAACGGTGTTGTTGTTGTCTTCCTTCTTGACAATGACAACTTGGTTGGTGTACTCCTACTTCTCGATGTCACGATCGTGATGGTCTTGTAAACCTCGACGGTGATGATGAAAATGACATACACAGTGAAGAATGAATACTAAAGAGATAAACTAGGGTGAACGATGGTGTTTTGGTTGAAATCGTGTATTGTTTCACAGTATTGAACGTTACGGTTTTGGGTTGAAATTGTGTATTGTTTTGTCTAGTTTCTTTTTTCAATGGAAAAAAGAATACTGAAGAGACAAGCTAATTAGAAGTGTATAATATTATAAAGATACCACCACGGTCAAAACCTGAAACCGTTATGATCTATTACTTTCATAGAGAAGTGTCAGAGTTTAATTTACAATTAAAATTTTTAAATAAAAATAATTAAATTATATCACAACGGTGGAACGAACCAGCCATAGTCATAACCCTTTAAATTTTTTATTTAAAAATAAATAAAAAAGAAAAGGCGCGCCTTAATTTTAATGGAATAATATATGATGACGCTAAGGTTCGAACCCATGAAAGTTTGACGATTTCACCATGGTTCACTCATCAACCGTTGTTATATACAATTAACTTTAAATTAAAAAACAAAAATAATATGAAAGCGTCTTAATTTAGAGATGTCACCACGGTATAGGTAAGAACCGTGATGAACACGACATTACAAATAAAACTTATTACATTCCTCATAATATGCATGCGTCTCTTCCTGACTTCCTCAACATTATATTCACCAGCCACATTCCTTTTCTATGATTATGGAGACAAAAGTATGTGGACAGAATTTGTCAATGGTAACCTTAGCTTGAAGCAGGCTTTTGACTTTATTGATAAGCATTAGTACAATGCCTTGTGGAACAAGTTTCCTTGGTACCCAACCAAACCTCCACCAAAGTCCTTATTGCTTTAGAGACTAGTCCATAATAAACTACCTAATAATGACAACTTATGTAAGAGAGGTTTACTTGACCCTTATATGTGCTCTCTTTGCCATAAAAGTCCTGAGACCTCCACTAATCTGTTTTTTTACTATAACTTTGCAAGAAAGTTATGGGATTTGTTTTCTAACACATGCAATATTCAGTTTCCAATTGTCAATCATAGCTCTTTATATAAAGTGATAGCAATGGAATGGTCTCCCCAAGTCCATATTGTTGTTTCTTTGGAAAGTGTGCATATCATTAGTGCAATATAGGGAGCTCGCACCTATAACATATTTGTAGACAAACGCAAAGCTTGGAGGACCTGCATTCCTATTATATTTTCTCGTGTGCTTCTCTAAGGTAACCACACTAACAAGGTCTCAAACTCATCTATGCAAAACATTTGCATTATGTAATACTTCAAGTCAATATATATCCTCCTAAGTTTAACATTTTAAATGAGGTGCTTTGGCATTCTCTTCCTCCTCTTTATTAGTGGAAATACAATTTAGATGTCATGGCTAAAGGCATCCCACTTTTTCTGCCTGTAGAGGATTGCTTAAAAATGATAAGATAGAACATGCTGATAGCTTTGCTCATTACATTGGCAATGTGAATTCTCTCCTTGTCGGGTTAACAGGAGCCATGATGTCGATAGAATTGGCTTGGGAGAATAATTGGAAAAAAAATTGGTTGGAAACTAATTCCATCATGGTTGTTAAGGATTTTAATGAGCACTCTTTGATTCCTTGGTCTATAAGGACAAGACGGCTTAATTGTGTCCACCTTACATATTTTTTCTGTAAATAAATCAATTTTTTTAAAGCAAAAAATGTTTTTAAAACTAAAAAATATTTTTAAAAATTTGAATTAAAAAAAATAAGTGAAAAAAGTTGGGGTTTTATGGCCTTAGTTTAGAGGTATACTTATTTTGGAATTTTTTATTTATAAATTTTATACTCTTAAGTTTTTGTCCTAAACAATTATTGTTCAATTTTTAAAAGTATTCTGAGTTAACGGCTTTAGTTATAGATAAGGCCACATGGAGGACTTGTATGTTTTTGTTGGTTGCTGTTTTTTTATTGTTTTGGCTGGTTTGGCATTTCTTGTGCTATTTTTCTATGACTTTTGGTCATTAGTGTCTTTTTCATATCTTATTATATTTTATTTTTCCTTTTAAAAAAAACTAATAGTGAGACGACTAAGAAATATTCCAAGTCCACATTTGTGGTGTTTGCAATATTGTGACAAGGAAAAATTTAGAAAAGTAATCATGGAAAAATAAAATATTTTCTAATTCATTTGTCAAATAGTTTACAATTGAAAATTTTGAGAGATTTTATCTCTTCACATTCTACTTTTTTTAAGCATGTTTTCACATTCTAATGTTTTTTTTTTATTTAACTTTTTTCATTGTTTTTTGGATTAATATTCATCACAACATTTTTTAAACTTATCATTATAATAAAAGTTGAAATATTTTCTTCTTCTCAAATTTCGATTTATTTAAAAATTTAAGTAAATAACTCCTAAAAGCATATAATTAACTCATGGGATCCAGCATGTTCATATTGTTCTGCCAAAATATTTAAAATAATCATCAGGAAAATGCCGTATGCAGATGGATGAATGGATCCATGATTGTCTTGTTGCATATTTTCTACTTATGTGATTGCGACGATGAAAATTTAGAAAAGTAGTCGTGGAAAATGGAATAGTATCTAACTCCATCGTCATATAATTTAGTGGTTACAATTTAAAACTTTAAATTTTTTATATCATTTTGAAGATTAATATCTATTATAATTTTTATAGAGTTTATAATAATATTAAAAATTAGAATTTATGTTTTTCATTTTGATTTATTTTTTAATTTTAAATAAAAGATTATAGTAAAATTTATAATATATTTTAAATATTATTATATTATTATAATATATAAAATAAATATATAAAATAAATATATAAAATATATAAATAAAATATACATTTTTTAAAATAATAAAACATTTATAAGCTTAATATTAAACAGGAGTTGAATTTAAAATTAAAATGAATAATAGGTTGTGTTTATATTTTTAGATGATTAAGTTGAATAAACATGAGCCTTTTATTATTACCAATTGGTTCAAATTCTTCTACTATAAACAGTATTCATTGGTGGAATATGTGACACAAATCAAGTTAAGCATTTTACTTCTCATTTTGATATTAAGTGGAAAATATGGTCTCTCTAAGGATATTCTTTCTTTTTCTTCACTTCTGCATTCAAATTCATTACGCATATTCCAAAGATCGCAAGGCAAGTTTATACCTATTTTGTTATTTTACTTTATTAGGTTTTTCTGTTAGTCTTTACAAATTTATATTAGTTTTACTTGATAAAAAAATATAAAATTTAAATTAATTTAAATACAAAATTGTGTTCTCTCTTTTTTTCAATTTTGTCCCCGATTTTATTCCTTTCTCTTCTCTTGTTTTTATGATTTTTTTTCTTCATCATTTCCTTTTTTTCAATATTTATTTATTTAATTTTATAAATAAGTTGTTTAGATTTTAAATTATCATTCAAGATAATACGTTAAATTGATTGGATGATAGAGCTATGGATGAAAGAGATATATGTGTTTGATTGGATCGGTTTTTGCCAAATAATCCAAATAATACTTTTAGATTTAGTTTGATTATATATCCATTTTTTAACGTAATTCAATTCAAATTTCGTAATGGACGAGTTGCTTTAGATTGGATAATTGAGTTTATAAATACTAATTTTTAAAATAAATTGTCATAACTTAATTATCATATTTTACAGACTTACATTGTCTACATGGGTGATCATACAAAAGGCATTGAACCTGCCACGTTACCTTCTCTTCATTCTACAATGGCACACAAAATTCTTGGCAGGTTCAAATTTTTATGTTTCTTTTCTACTTATTCATGCTTGATTTTAAGACTTTTTCCTTAGCAATAAAGATTTGAGATTTTTTAAGTTTAACAATCCAATTGTGCGTCTATTTAGTGATTTTGAACCAGGAGCTGTACTCCACAGTTACAAGAAGAGTTTTAATGGATTCGTCTTAAAATTGACAGAAGATGAAGCAGAAAAATTGGCTGGTATTATTAATAAAGTTTATATATACAATCAAATATATTTAACTATGTTAGTTTTTTTATACACGGTGTAAATGTTAGAATTTGGGACAATAAAGTTGATAAATAATTGAGTAGTTTAACGTCGAGAGAGGAAAAGAAATAGAGAGAGCTAGAGAGATTAATTTAAGATGAAAAAATGGTCAGCAACTATACAATGATACTTCAAAAGTATATATATAAGTACAATAAATTGGGACACAAGCAACTAATGGAAAAACATAAAAATTGAAACTGATTGGAAGTAATCGGTTATTGCGAACCTATAATCGGTTGCAGTTGTTTCTACAATTAATTTTCAACACTATAGTAACTGGTTACTAAAATGCAGTAACCTGTTACATGGTTACTAAAACGCAGTAATCGATTGTAACATTTGAATTATTGATGTTTTCACAACACACCACCTTAATTCAAGTGCTTCAAGTCTCCCATACTCATGTTCTTCTTCAATATCTTGAACACTTCAACTATGACTCCTTTGGTCAGGAAATCAGCCGCTCGATCCTCACTTCCACAATATCCCACTGTAAATCCCTTTACAACTAATTGAGACTTATGCTTGGTTATTTCACCCTTGGGATTTACCTTAACTTTATACACCCATCTTACACCAATTAGCTTATTTCCTTCTGTTAGATCAACTAACTCCTATGTCTTGTTCTTTTCAATCGATTTCATCTCTTCTTTCATAGCACAAATTAATTTTGAACTACAAGAAATTTGCCATTTAGCAGCGGCATAAAACTGTTGCTAAATGTCCAAAAATCGTTGGTAAAGGTTAAAAAAACCTATATCAACGGACGTTACTATAATTCCCTATACCAACATAAATTTTCGTCCCAATATCTTATACCAACGGAAGTTTTAAGGCATTGGAAAAATCTCAAGGCTATAGCAACAATTAATTACACTATTCAATAACTTTATCCATCTCAAATTTTCATTGGTATAGGACGAAATTAGCCATTGGTATATGTTTCTTTTACTTATAAATATTTCTTTCTTATAATAAATAAATATTTTTAATAATTAAATTTTTTTACAATACTTTCTATATATACCACTAAAAATTTAAAGCAGCATCAAAGAAATTTTTTATTATATATATCAAAATAACAAGTCTTACAAACATATCAAAATAACAAAGTAATGTCAGTTATATAATAACAACCACCAAAATAGATGCTACAATAATAAAAACACCAACGTATCAATTTTTTATCTTCCTCTCTTCCATCTTCATCGGTGCTTGGACTTCGAGAATCTATTTGATTTGGTGCACTAGAATTTCTAGCCTATTAAAAATAAAATCAAATAAGTTACAAATTCAACTTAATAAATATTTTCATAATATTTTGAAATATGAGAAATTAATTAAACTACTTAATAACTTTACTCTTAGTATATACATGGAAATAGAGAGTTCTTCAACAAAAAATCTTTAAGAAGTTCATGAAATTGATAGGAAAAAGGTGAGCATAACTTACTCAACATATATTGTCAATAGCTTCAGGACATAAGACGGAGGAATAGGCTTTTTTTTTTTTAGCTGCAGCAATTAAGCCTTCAACTTATTGGAAATAATTTTCAGGCAATTAACTATACGATTAATAATAAACATGCATGGATAATTATTAAATTACATCCCTTGTGTTTTGAGTAATAACAATGAAAATGAAACACAGTGTAAAGATTTAGAGAATTTGTTTGGTCGAAGGAACTAGAAGCATCTGTAATATATAGAAAATAAAAGAACCAAAATTTAGGAGACATTTTCTACCCATACGATAAAAGTCTTCAAAATTAAGATGAATATATCTATTAATATTACTTAGTTTCTATAATTGTAAGCACTTAATTATTAGTTTATCCTATTTTATTCATTGCATGCAAACGAGGTCATCTTGTACCATACTGCTTGTCTATTTATATGATGAGCCACTGCCTATGTATATCTAGTCAGGAATGAACATAAGCATATGGAGAACCAAGCTAGAATTAGGATCAGTTATAATATTATTTCTTAAGGTTTTAGGTGAATATGTGGTGTGCTCTCACAAAAATGTGTCTCAAGTAAAGAATGCTCTCTCGAAATTATTCCTAACAAAACCATCCTTATTTGTGTTGTTTGTAACATCTAAATCTTTTTTCTCAAACAAGTAAACTGCACTGTTGATACTAAATAAAAAAACTGAGTGCACAACTTCCATCTTGATTAAGTTCATTTCAGTTTTGATCTACTAGTAAAACTATCATCCAGACAAATTAAGTAAGCAATGCGTAAAACTAAGGATAAGTTTCACTCTAAAGAAAAATAAATAAAATGAAGAAAATAAAAATCTCATGGTGTAAGAAAAGAAATAGTGGATGCCGCAAAGCAGTTGAAATAAATAACTAAAAATAAAATAAAGTATGCCACACAAATAAAAGCTGCATAAACAGAAATTAAAGAGGTGGCTAACAGAAACTCAAAATTGCAACCGTTCAAACAACTCACAGAAGAGTTGTTTCATCTGGCACGGTTGGTCTAAATCCCACTATGTAATGGCAGTATACCAATGCTATACCAATTATTTAACAACACTAAACCATTGTATCACAAGTAAATAAAAACAAAAAAGAAAGTGAAATGTTATAAATCTTGCCTTATCTCTTCCAGCACTGAGCAGTGTCCATTCATCTTCTGATACTGCAATGGAAGTCACTGCAGAGTGATGATTATCTAGGACTGCAATGCACTCCTTTCGCTTGGTCTTGGAAATAGCCCAAACTCATGCTTTTGCATTATCACCCCGTCATCACTACCAGAAAAAACCTGCATACACCAATTCTATTAGGATACGTTAAATATATGAAGGTGGATTCAACACTTCCAGATAGTTGGAAACAAGTAGTGATAAGGAAGGGATAAACAAAATTAAAATTCACATTTGCATTAAAAGCATTAGAACAAACTATATTATCAATTATATTACTTTAGAGTTAGTACACTCCTCCAAATTTCTCATGTTACATTAACTTAAGTATTCTTGTTCTTCAAACATCACAAAATGTAAACCAAAATGGAAAGGATAAAAAAAGACATACTCACATTATATGACCCTGTCACCAGTCATCATTAATCTCTCTAAATAAAGTAGTTACAAAATGTCTTGTTGTTTTAGATTTTCTACATGAAAACACTACTACGGAAAAAGGCTTTTAAAGCGCTTATTTTGGCCTTTAAAAGCGCTTAAAAGCGCTTTAATAGCTGGCGCTGGCGTAGGTAACAAAAGCGCTTCTAAAAGCGCTCTGGTAGACCCCCCCTTTAAGAGCGCTTTCCTGGAAAAAGCGCTCTGGTAGGACCCCCTATAAGAGCGCTTTCCTGGAAAAAGCGCTCTGGTAGACCCCCCTTTAAGAGCGCTTTTCCCAGAAAGCGCTGCCAAAGACCAGTAAAAAAGCATAAAAAATTAAAAAAAAACGCAGCATACAAAAGCGCTTTTGTAAAAGCGCTCTGGTAGGCCCCCCTATGAGAGCGCTTTTTATGGAAAAAGCGCTCTGATAGGCCCCCCTATAAGAGCGCTTTTCCAAAAGCGCTTTTGTATGCTGCGTTTTTTTTTAATTTTTTATGCTTTTTTACTGGTCTTTGGCAGCGCTTTTACTAAGAAGCGCTTTAGTAGGTGGACCTTTAAGAGCGCTTTTTAAAAGCGCTGTCGTTTCTAAATGAGGTATTTTTATGTACAGCCTATAATTTAATCCTCCCAGTCGACCTGTAATGTTTTCGACCTGTAATATTTTCGACCTGTAATATATTTTTGACCTGTAATATATTTTCGACGCTATTATTTCAGCCATCAGTAAGACAATATATATACTAATATAATACCATTATAATATCCAAAATTATATATATACATCATTACATCAATAATATTATAGTTCAAATCGACACAAATCCTACATGAAAAATTGCTTAATATAATATTGACACAAATCTTCTTTAATTTCTTCCAACTTAAGCTTCGGGTACCCAGCAGCACGGAATTCGTCAAGGTACTACAAAACAAAAACATAATATAAATGATATATTTAGTTAAATGTAATAAATTATATGAAATTATCTTAAGTTATAAATTCATACCGTGAGCGGAATCTCTAATTGATTCGCCTGAAGGATTTCTTTCATGAACCTCAAAACAAAGTATCCGCAATCATAACTATTTCGCTGTTGCGGACACTACATAATAAAACAAATAAGATTCTATAGTTGTCTTGTTTTACCAAGTAGCATAAATATTATAAGCAAAATTGTGAAAAGTAATGTACCTGCACTTGGATCCAAGTGATGTTGTTTGATTTAGTCCGGGATACCTGTGCGTCCCGTTGACTACGGAACACTTGTATTGATCTAATTATTAAATATATAAAAGCATATGTTTAGATCAATCCCACAAATAAGAAAATATATAAATATACACGAATATATATTTAGAACGATCCCACTTACAAATCAACGATTTCCTTCATAGCCGGATAATTGGTCCATTCACCATTTACCGAATTCAGATAATACACGACTTCTCTTATCGGGTTGATAGCAAGCAGCAACCAGTGTGCTCTATAAATTAAAACAATAGGTTATATGAAAATTTTGCTATACACAAAAGAAACAGAGATTAGATGAACCAAGAATGAGAAACTAACCCTACTGGTCGGGTATTATACGCCCAAAGATGCAGACTTTCTGTATTGCCGGTGGACATGAATCTATCTACTAAGCGCTGTCTAACTGATTCCGGTTCCGAAGCAATTGTCATTCCGCTGCAATGGGCGGAAGACACGAAACGGAATCTGTTAGACAATGCAGTCCCGCGCAACACTCTGTCATACAACAACCTTAAATAAAAACATAATAAACATTAGATTATTTTCATTGAAATGTGTAAATAAATTATATTGTGGGACTAATTAAATAATATATCGGATGAGTGAATATTACCGGATGTATGAGTGCATATTACTGACGCCTAGTTGATCATGCCTAAAAATCTCTTCCAAGTCATCAAATGTAATATGTGACGGGAATTCAATACCGAAGACACTTTCATCCATGTTGATTTCACGTAAACCACCATCCTTCAAATCGGACATATCAACCATTGTTGCGAGTGTCGAACGGTATCGAGGCACAAAAGCACCGCCTTTTTTTGCCGCTTGCTTCGGAGGACCAGTGGGTGGTAAGCTACGAACCTGCTGCGTCACTTGTTGTGACTCCCGAGCGGATGCCTAAAAATCATATAAGTTAGGTAAAATATAAAATCATGCAGATTTAGATTCAGACTATATATTAACACTTTAAATGTACCTCTTTTAGTGATGCAACAGACTCCTCCTCCTGTAAAATCCCTTTACCCTTAATTGCGGGTTTTATAGGAGCAGTCTAAAATTAAAATGTAAAAAATAATTAATAAACGGTTTAGAATTGACATTCGAAAACTAAATGATTCATAATCGTTTTCAGTATACCTCATCACTAATGGTAATGAGCTCC